ATAATGGGAACATTTACTCATTTCCTTCTTATGATTGAGGAACATAATATATTGGAATCTCACCCCCTAGAAACAATATATTCACATAGGTTCATTTGTTTTGCTAGGTATTGATACATAGACGGATTGATAATGGTTTTAGATGCCAAAAACTTGTCATCTTTTCAATTCCACAAGGAGCATGCTTATTCTATCTCATGCCTTCAAGAAAATCTCTTCGGTGTTTTTTTTTGGCCTATGTTCATTCCAAATTGCTCAACATTGAACATTTAGATTAAAAGTGTACTCAAGTTCAGTTTAGTTCAACTGAGCCCTTTTTGAATATGAAGTGGTAAAGAAAAATATTATTTCTTCATTTACCTGCTGATCTCAAACATTCAAGGCACAAATTTTATTTCACAGCAAAGTTCGATCTGTATTTGGAGATTTGTTATTTTGTGAAGGATAGGATTTTTTTAGTTGTGCTGTACCATCACCTGTAGGATTTTTCATCACACAGGAGATTGTTTAATATAATGGTAAAATTCATGTTGTAATCCCGACGGCCATATAGTATTTAATTTGTATAGTTGATAATCAGCCCTTCTGGTTTGAGAAAACTGATTTTTTTCCCCATGCTGTTGGCATTGATCTAGGACCAATATCTTATGCTAGATATCCAGAAGATTGAAATTATATTTTCAGTTCCACATCGTGTTTGGCCCTGGGAAAAGTGAGATCGACATAAGGTGCTTTCAAACATGAACTAAGTTCACTCATTGATTAAATCTTTAATGTCCACAGAAATCTGCTTGGCAAGTGTTAAGATTACATTTGATTACTCTTTGGCCATATTAGCACTTATATTGCATTAAAATGATGCTAAAATAAGGGAGACTACTCTCTGGAGAGTCTTAATACATGTCTTAAGTGATGCTGCAATACTGATAGTGTTCCATCAATGCAAAAAGGCAATATAATTTAAGTCATATTTGATTCAGAGAAGATGTCTCACATTCTTTTGAGTGTACACAAACCATCTAGCCAAAAGCCAATTTAATAAGTTCAGGCAATTAGTTGAAAAACGTTAATGTTATGTTTTTCTTATAACATGAGAAAACTGATATTCTCATTAATTCTGTCTCAATATCATTCAGTATCTGTAGAAAACATGCAAGTTCTTGCGTTCAGAGTGTGTGTTCTCCAGTATAACTATAATTTTCTTAGCTGGATTATATCTTATAACTGCTATTCGCAGCTCAATAGTACTGTATAGATTGTATCAATACAAAACCCAAACTATACCAAATGCATACCAAAATAATTTGTAAGAAAAATGCTCACTAAAAATTTGAGGAGATTTCTAAATATAGGGCGAGGACTCAGATCACCTGAGCATTAGATCCAATTATTCAAGTTCATATCATTGAGTTGATCTTTTGGCATTTTTTTCTCAAAAAAGAAACTGAGAAAGTTGTATCCTTTTTGTTCTTTTGGGATTCTGAAGTCTGTTGTGACACTAAACACAAGTTCTCTCATAAACTGAAGAGTGCAAAAAGGAAAACCAAAATCTCAAGCATGCAGAAAATAATGATACTGAGTGGTAGAAGGATATACCGGCTAAATCATAGAATTGGGGTTTGTATTAAAGAAAACCCTCTGGTATTATACTGCACCAACTATTTCTAAGCAACAAACATGATGGATAGTCCAAAGTACAGCAGTAAATCAAAAATGTAAAAGTTTCAATGGATACCGAGCTTTTCCCTCTTAATGTTAGACATTACGTCATGTGGAAATAATTTTAACATATTTGGTGCATGCTTTTATTTCATAATGATTGAGTGATGCTGGGTTTTATTTCCTTGGTGTGACATATTAAGTACAGTTAAATCACTGGGCAATGGAATCTTCATACTTGTTGATAAATTATATATATTTGTGTCTTTTTTAACATGACTGTAAAATACATAAAATAACACTGTTACAAATTTCCCTAAATTGTGTTGAGGTAGCACTGCTAGCAGCATTTTCCTGAGATAGTGCCCATTTTAGAACTACAGCCTTATTGTGCACTGCTGCTGCAGAGGCAGCTTTACGAATCATGTGTCTGTGGTTCATTTGACACTTTACTGAACCAACGTGAGAGTCCCTGGAAGCATTCTCAGCTAAATCAGACCTTCAACCTGATTTATGACCTGACGTTAACACTGGGGAATAGGTGTTTTTGGCTTCACACTTACATCAAACATGAATGGTGTCAGTGTACCGTTTGTATATATAGACATACAGCATGCTTTCTGTGACAGCAAAGCTGGTGGTTTAACTCACAAGCTATAGATCTCAGACTATAGTATGAAAATAACCTTCAGTAGTGTGACATTCAAAGCACACAGTTGAAAAAGGGAATGTCTGGTACATTATGCTGTGATAATATGAATCAGTTGTTGGTCTTTTTACTACCTAATATTGCAACCACTTTTCCATTAAGTTTACCATGCTGCAAGCCAATTCCTTATCCTTTTGCCCTAGTGATGAACAAGCATCTTTATGGAACTAATTTTCTATTTTTAAATTTAAATATTTCTGATAATAGTGAGTATAAACTATGAAAATGCCTCTTTTAGCCCAATAGTCAATAACCCATTTAAACTGCATGTAACATAATAACTCATCATCAACATTGCATTGATCTTATTAAGTTTTGTTTTAAATTTTGCCCATTTTTTCTTCTTAACTACTTAAGAAGGCAGCATTAAGTAGTCATAAAAATAAAAGAAAAATACTGTACATGCTAGCAATCTGAAATGAAAATAGAAGTGTGGAGAAATTCAGCAGGTCTGGAAACACCTGCAAAAGGAGCAACAGAGTTAACATTTCAAGTCCATATTACTTTCCTTGGTTCCAGAAAAAAGTTATATTGGATGCAAAAGGTCAATTCAGTTTTTGAGTAATTGAGTTTCTCCACCATTTTCTATTTTTATTATAGAATTAATTAGTGGCCTGTTTGAAAGATTGTCTGCTATGAAACAATTCAGATGCATAATTAATTATCCACCTCTGCCAATTAAGAACAGAAGAAGGTTTGGGCCGACACTGTGGTGCAATGTTTAGCACTGCTGCTGCATGGCATCAGGATCCGGGTTCAATGCCAGTCTGGGGCGACTGTGAAATTTGCACATTTTCCCCATGTTTGCATGGGTTTCCTCTTGGTACTTCAGTTTTCTCCCACAGTCCAAAGATGTGCAGGTTAGGTAAATTGGCCATGCTAAATTGCCCATAATGTCCCAAGATGTGCAGGCTAGGTGGATTAGCCATTGGTAATGCAGAGTTACAGGGATAGGATAGCGGGGTGGGTCTGGGTGGGATGCTCTTCAGAGCGTCGGTGTGGACATGATGGGTCAAATGGCCTGCATCCACACTGAAAAAATACTATGATTCTAGTTCAATGTAGTTTGCACAGCCATCTCACAATCACTACCAATGGTGATCCCAATCTAGAAATTCAGATGTGGGAATCTCCTGTTTAAGTTTCACACCTTTGGAGATAAAATATGGTCCTCCCGGGCAATGGGCTGTATTAAGCAATAGAACACATTATAACTCTGGCATTCAGTCCTTTTGCTTTCTGGAATCCAGCCCATGAGTAAACATTCCAATGGTGACATGCCCAATAAAGATGTCATAGAATCATAGAGACATACAGCACAGAAACAGATTCATTCCACCATTTAAAAAAAAATGTTAAACTGAAAATAAGCATACAATCAAATGTCCTTAGTTAAGGAAAAACTGGAACTTTTAAAGGTATAAAACATAAAAGATGATGAACCTATATGAAACTTCAGTAAGTCTTCAGAATATTATGTGTGTTGGTGGACTCCCAAAATTTTGAAAAAGTCACACTTTTACTTTGGAAAGATGAGAGTACTTTTTGTTTAATTCTAACCCACCATGCTGCTTGGTAGAAGACAGTTTATTGGCCATGTTTATTGTCATGTTACACACAAACCAAAGTGTCCAGTGCAGCTGTGAATATGGTCCATTGGATAACTTACAGATAAAATTTGTTCTAAGCTAATTAGTTTTTTAAACACACTGCAGTATCATATATAGATATTACAGAAAAACAGCTTGAATATACAGAATTTTTATTGAAATAATACTGATTTTATGACTATGATATAACTATTTCGAATTCTGAATAAATAGGACAGTATATGTCAATGGTTGAAGGGTTAGGAATAAATAGAAGCCATAGTATAAGACTTAAAGTAAAATATTTGGAATAGAGCTCGAGATAACATTTTTTTGAACAAACAGTCGTGAGACTGTGGGGTTAATTTATACAGTTAGTTGATGAGACAGAAACTAGGTTAATAATTGGTATTTTCCAGTGGGCTTGTTGATGGTCACATCAGTAGCAAGTAGGGGTCTTAAGGCCACACTTGGCAGGAGCCAGGCCAATGGACCTTTTTATCCAGGAAGCAATCTCTTGAATGACTGTAGGATGGAGCTTGCCATCCTACTAAAGAAAGGACACGGTATGGTTGACCAAATCATAAGAACGGCAGCTGCAGAGCCTTGGCGGCTCAAGTGGGAGAGGTTAGCCCCTGCCTCCACTGTCATCAACATGGAGTCAGAAAATTGCAGCACTACGTTCAGAAGCAAATTGGACAGGTGAATAAGGAAGAAGACAGCTGTAATGATTTGGGAAGAAGGAGGTGTTTAATGGGTTCTGAATTATTTTCTGGCATAGAAGGCAAGTGCTGCAATGTAATGACTGGGCTAAATTACCTGTTCCTGTGGTGTAACTTCTATTTATTTGTATGTGTACATTAAGAGCAGTATTTTTTTTTAAAGCAACATTCTCAATAGTATTTGGGAAATGCTTGGAACAAAAATAACTGTCCTTTGACTTTCTTTCCTCTTTTAATGAGGTTAAAGTTGTAGATAACATTTAAACATGTCCACATGTCATGTAACGTGTCATACCTATTAACCAGAGTTTTTTTTTGTAGGTAAAGCAACCAAATGCTGACTGGCGTTTCTCACAGACTCACAGAGCTGAACTAAACAGGTACTTACAAATTTTCTTTTGATGCCCTGGAGTTTTCTTAGATCCAGAATTCATGGTTATGTACAGCCATTGGCAACTGGACTACATTGAAGACATTTCACACACTTAACTTCAATGTTTTTATAAACATCGGTGATTCCTTCAGAACATTTAGCTCCTTTCTTAAAATATCAACAATTCACTCTTTTCCACCTAGTGGTGCAATGTGTGAAAGTAATAATGTGAAATGGGGTACCCATCCTTTTAAACATAAGTGGGCCAGCATCTGATTCAATGTTTGTGATGAGAGTATTATAATAGCAGGGATACAGCAATAGTTCTTAATGACGCTAAACTAAAGGGATGAAAAGAATATCATGTTTGCATGTTATCCAATAGCTGCTGACAGAAAGGGCATTTATGAATATCAGCTGTAGGCAACATTGTACTTACCTTTGAAGTTTTTTGATTACTGAATAGTTTGTCAATACTTGCTTGCTAGGTTTGCATGTGAAGTAACAGGGAAGGGGAATATTTTGGAAGTGATAAAAATAAACCATTTTAGGAAAAAAGTAGCTGACAAGAGATTTAATTGTTAAGAGGAGTTTAAATAGAGGGGATAGGAAGGATTAATTTCAATTAGAAGAGAGGTTAATAACGAGGCAGAATTGATTAAACATAATTAGTAAAGGGTTAGGGGAGGTGAGTGTGAAACTCACTGCCTGAAAGGGTACTACAAGGCAGAAATCCTGGAATCACTTAAAAGGATTTGGAAGTGCATTGAAAGCGTTTGACTTCACAGGGCTATAGTTCAAGTGCTGCAAAGTGCAATCAGGCTTGGGTCATTTGGTAGAAAGCGCTAACCAGATAGAATAGAACCAAATAGAAGATCATTAAATGTTTTAAGGCTTACATACATGGATTCTTGTTAGACAAGGGCATTGAAGAGTATCAGGAGTAGAAGGAAATGTGCAATTCATGATACAAAAAGCTCAGCCATGATATTATTGAAAGTAAAGCAGGCCTGAAGGACCAGAAGAAATACCATTGCTACTAATTTTTAAATTGTTTTTTCCTTCCCTGCTCTTTCCTCATGATATATTTTCTTCCTTTCAAGTATCCAGCCAGTTCCCTTTTCAAAGAATTGAATCTATGTCAACCAGCCAGTATTTTCCAGATTATAGCAACTACTGTGTGAAAAAATCCCTTTTCTGCTCTTTAGTTTTTATACCAAATATCCTAAAACTGCGCTGTCTGTTACTGATTCTTCTGTAAGTGGGAACAGTTTCTCCTTATATACTCTATTAAACTGAATTATTTTTGCACATCTCCATTAAATTTTCCCTAACCTTCTCTGCTCGAATTAGAAAAATCACAAATTCTCCAGTTTCTCCATTAAACTGAAGTCCCTCATTACTAATATTAATCTCAGCCCCTTATTTGTGACCTCATTCATGTATGTACGATAGATCTGTGAATGGAAAACAGTAAATGCCAAATATTGCTTTAAATTATATTACAAAAGTTGAACAAAGTAAAAACTAATGTCAGAAAATTCTGGAACTTAAGTGTTTCATGTGAAAAATAATCAATATGCAGAATGCACACCTGATAGAATGGTAGAGGAGTGAACCTTGGAAATATTTAAACAATCAATGCAAAGCTATGGTGGGGTTACAGTAAAAGATCACTCTGAATGAAGAAGGTATTAAGATGCACTTAATAGTTTTGCACATGGAAATGAATTGCTCTGAAACAATAATCCAGTTGTCTTCTGCATTAAATGAAAAGATATTGAACTAAAAAAAAGCATCAATCAAAATGTGCCCAAAGTAACAAGGTGATAATTATATGGCTTCTTTTCATGCATAGTCATTGTAATTGGAAATTATTGCACTCTATCAGATTTGAACACCAGCTGGTTTATAAATAAGTAAAATCAAACTCTGCTATGTGATTCTTGTGTTATCTGCATTTTTTTATTCATTCATGGGATGAGGGCCACACTGGCTAGGACAGCAATTATTGCCCATCCCAGAGGACAGTTAAGGGTTTGGAGTCAGACCTAGGATGGCAGTTTCCTTCCCTGAAAGGTATTAGTGAACCAGATGGGGTTTTCATGACAATTGACAATGGTTGCTTGGTCATCAACAGACTCTTAATTCCAGGTTCTTTTTGAATTCAAATATCATTATCAGCTGTGGGAGGATTTAAACCTGGGTCCCCAAACATTATCTGGGTCTCTGGATTAACAGCCCTGCAATTGTACCACAAGGCCATGTAGGCCAGTTCTTTTTTATTCATTCATGGGATGTAAGCATTGCTGGCTAGGCCAGTATTTGTTGACCATCCCTAGTCACCCATAAACTGAATTGCTTCCTAGGCCATTTCAGAGGGCAGTTAAGAGTCCAACACTGGAGTTACATGTAGGCCAGACCACATACAATGGCAGTTTTCTGTCATTAAAAGAACCAGTTAGGTTTTTAAAACAATAGTTTCACGGTCATCATTCGATCTTTAATTTTTAAAAAGCATTGATTTCAAATGCCACCATCTGCTGTGGTGGGATCCAAACATTACAGGGACTCTGGATTACTTGTCCAGCAACACTATCATCAACCTGCACAAAGGAATGTGTGAGAATATTGTTCACAGTTGGAGAAGCTAATACCCACAGTGTTACTGTCTTTTCCAATTTCTCCAAAGATGTCTGAGACTTTCCGCCTCTTCCCAATAATGCACAAATCATTATCTAAATGTAATAGGAAGTCCTTAATCTGATGGAACTTCCAGTTATGTTGGGTACTCTGAAGGATTTTTTTTATCTTGTCTGCCTGGTATTGACATTGGTTATAGTTAAACTTCAATCTCCACTTCAAATATACCTGTAAGATCCAATAAAATCACATTGTTCTTCAGTTTGAAAATTGTTCTCTTATAAAACCGAATGGTTCCACTGATTATGTCCTTTAATAACAACAGACCAAGATACGTAGGGCAAAAGAAAAACATTTCCTACATAAAGGCACAACAATAAAATGGTAGTTTTTCAATGAGCACTGCTTACAATTTAAAACAGTTTAATCTATAAGCAAATTGTTCAGATATAGCAAAGTTCTAAAAATGGAACTAAAACACACATTTATCCTCATTGTATAAATATTTACCTTTTTTGTCATTACTTCTCCTGAATAGTCCTGCAGCACTGAATGAATTATATTGTGAATGAATTATATTATTCCTTTTTTGGAGATGGTCTTTTGCTGACATTCACCATTTAGCCTGATACATTGGCTATTAACTCAAATCAGGGAAGTCATCTCTGACCTGTTCAATCCATTGAGCCCAATGCTGTAAGGACAGTACATCAGTGAAAAGGAAGGGTGAAAACTCAACCTCTCCTCAAATGTGCTCCACATTTTTCTCCAGAAATGTTTACTAATGGGTACTCTGAAGGATTTTTTTTTATCTTGTCTGCCTGGTATTGACATTGGTTATAGTTAAACTTCAATCTCCACTTCAAATATACCTGTAAGATCCAATAAAATCACATTGTTCTTCAGTTTGAAAATTGTTCTCTTATAAAACCGAATGGTTCCACTGATTATGTCCTTTAATAACAACAGACCAAGATACGTAGGGCAAAAGAAAAACATTTCCTACATAAAGGCACAACAATAAAATGGTACCTCTCATTTAGCCAAGTTGACCATATTCACATAGAAACTTTCAATTGTGCATTGAAAGATTATTTCAGTGAATCATGAGTTATTCAGCTTTTTATATCTGTTCCAACTCCTCCAAGGCGTACTTTATTACAACCAGTCTTGTGGTTGGTTGGCTCGCCGAGCTGGTTCGTTGTTTTTCCACAGACGTTTCATTACCCTGCTGGGTAACATCATCAGTGCAGCCTTTGATGAAGCGCTGTTGTGTTTCCCCATCTGTTATTTGAGCTCTGGAGTCCATTGAGCTGGATTACCTCACTTCCGGTTTTCCTTAGCAGTGGAGTGTATATGAGGTCGAGCTTGATGTGTTTGCTGATGGCTTCCTTCGTGGAGTACCAGGCTTCTAGGCATTCCCATGCTTGTTTCTGCTTTGGTCCAATTCAACTGGGACAACACCAAGATCCTGGGACAAGCAAAACAGAGATAAGCAGGGTAATGTAACATCTGCGGAAAAACAATGAACCAGCTCAGTGAGCCAACCAACCACAACATCCACAACCCGAGCTACAAATCTACTCCAAAACCTTACTACTAGTCTCTTGGTCTTTCATCATAGCCCACAAATTTTATTTTCAAACACATATTAAATTCCATTTTGAAAGTTTCTTTGAATCAGCTTCTACCACCCTTTCAAACATATATTGAAAATTATTAAAACCCACTGTTTAAAACAAGTTCTCCTCAGCATTTAGTTCTTAATTCCTAAATTTGTAACTTGTGGATGCTACCCCTGCAGAAATTGCAAGTATCTTCTCCTTCCTTTCACCATTGAACCTTCATGACTTGGAGCATCTTTGTTAAATTTTCTCTTACTGGTCCCTGTTTTAAGAAGAACAGTTCCAGCTTCTCCAGTCTCACCATGTATCTGAAGCTTCTGTATGGTATCTTTACAGTAAATACTCCCTTGTACTCTCTCCAAGGCCATACCACGTTCTTCCAAATATGTGGTTCTGAGAACTAACATGGAACTCCAGTTGAGGACTAGCCTGGTGACTGGCGATTTAGAAGGCTTAAGTTAAAATTCCATGCTTTGGTACTCTATTCCTTTATTGAGAAAATCTTATATGTTTTTGTTAACTGCTTTGTCAGTGGTACTGCTGCCTACAAACTTTAGGGCTTTACAACCAGATTCAGGGAATTGTTACAGTGGAGGCTATTCAGCCCATCATGTTTGCACCAACTCTCTGAGCATTTTGCATTAGGGCCATTCTCCTGCCTTTTCCCAGAAACCCTGGACATTCTTTATATTTAATTAATATCTAATGCCTCAATTGAAGCTGCCTCCACAACAATTTAACTACTCATAGTTTTCCCATCACAAATTGGAAACTTGCCCCATCTTAAAAAAGAAGCTTGCATTTATATAGTGGTTTTAATATAATAAAATGTTCCATAGCTCTGCTATACTAGCTCTGCCTAACCCTAACCCAAACCTTATTGCATCAAGAAAATAGAACACGTAGACATGAGGAGAGATACAGATAGGTGACCAGAGTCTTGTGAGAGTTTTAGGGAGCATATTAAAGGAAGAGAGAATGGACCCAAGCAGCTGAAGGGATGGACACCAATGGTGATGCAATACAAAAATAGGGAAAATGGGGAAGTCTTGCTAATACAATACAAAGCATTACCAGACCACAGCTGGAATACTGAGCACAGTTTTACTCTCTTTATCTAAGGAATGATATACTGGCATTGAAGGCAGTCCAGAAAAGCTTCACTATGTTCATCATGGGTCTGGAACAATTTTCTTATGAGGACAGGTTGAGTAGTTTGTGCTTGTACTCATTGGAGATTAGAAAATGAGAGGGGACCTTATTGAAACATATAAGATTCTTAGAAGGCTTGACTGGGTAGATGCTGAGACATAATTTCAGAATAAGGGGTCTCCCATTTAAGACAGAGATGAGGAAGATGTCCGTCTCTCAGAGGGTAGTGAATCTGAGGAACTTGTTACCACAGAGGGTTGTTAAGTCTGGGTCATGAAGTATCTTCAAGACTGAGATAGACAGATTTTTAATCAGTAAGAGAATCAAGAGTTATGGGGAAAAGGCAGGAAGGTGGAGTTGAGAATGATCAGATCAGCTGTGATCTCATTGAATAGTAGAGCAGACTGAATGGGTTGAATGGCCCATTTCTGCTGGTATACTGTATGATCTTAAGATTTAAAGCTGATGAAAGCAATTCCTTGATTTGAACAGACAGTATAAGTAAGAAGTCATATTAGAAAGTGAAACTCCTATTTCAGGTCAGCTCAGACTCTGGTTCATCATCTACAACTTTCATACCCTTGTTTTCATGTCTAGCGACTACGTTCCCTGTTTTTCCTGCAGTTCTCAGTATCAGGAGGACGAAGGAGTACAGCGTGATATACAACGTGAAGTTCAGCGTGAGGTGCAGTGTGATGTCCAGTGTGAAGCACCTCATGACGTCCAGTGCAATGTGCCCCATAACATTCAGCATGAGGTTCAGCGTGACGTTCCCTGTGACGTGCAGCGAGTGGTTGAGAATGAACCTGGCGGAGCAAGGAAACCAGCATGTGCAAGGCCTGCAGCCATCCCTGGTCAGTGCTGGACAAAAAGCAACATACATGTTGAAGACTAATGTTCAGATAGGTCAAATTAACTTTTCTCAATGCTTTTCCTTTTTACAGTGTGACAGAATTATGTGCTTTTAACAAGACTTGCCATGATTGTGTGGAACTTAGAGAAATGAGCAGTTAGTTAACCAGTGCCAGACATAACCAACATCACACTATATGAATATTAACATATAAAAACACGATGAATTTCCATAAAATGATTTTCTCCATCAACTTAACAGAGATGCTATAAAATTGAAAATAAACCAGAAGCATGTTGGTTAATATAGTCAAAGCAATAGTTTACATTCATATTTCAATGACATTATTTCAAGGTTATTATGCTTAAGGAAAATGAATTCATGTGGATTGGGAAGAAACTGCAGCAAATAGAGGTTTGGAAAGGGAATGTAAATTGAGAACATTTGGAGCATATTATGGAAAGCATAGTAAAAAAAGTAATTTTGCAATGAACCATTTTGATGTCAGGCTTTATAAGCTAGAAGTTTTCCAGGCACTTGTAACTTCTGTATGTAGTTTGCATGACTGTGCATTCATCTTTTCAACTAGCCTAAGTTGCCATTGTCATTTTAGTATTATAGTCCTCAAAATGGTTAAGGAGATTGAAATCATTGTCAGCAATATTTGTAATGAAATTAGTGCTGTGTTCATGCAAAATCATCAGAATAATAAATTCATTGCAAATTCCACTGACGTAAATTTCACCACCAAAAACTGAAAATGTGTAGTGTTAGCAAGTGTCCAAGAAAGGTAATGAAGAAAGATATTGCCCAACCAAAACACAAAATACACTTTGAGCCTTGCAGTTAGTGATCTACAGAAGTACAAATACTTAATGCCATTCATCTCAAATTCCTCTATCTACTTTTAGAAGAAAATCAGTGCAACATAATCTCTTTTCAACTAGTTATTGTCATTACTCAAATACTATTAAATGTGCTAAACTAATTTATGCATTGGTATCTCACTGCAAGAGCCTTTATTTCCTTGAGCAAGTGGTTTGTTCCAACAAAGAATGAGAAGGATATAAAGAAACTGTATTTATTCCAAATGTTCTTGCTCCTTCGCTAAAAGAGGAGAACAAAAATGTAAAGGCATCTTGTTAGTAACAAAAAAAATCACCATCTGTAAAGGTATATTCACGCAATGTTGCTCAAATAGAACAAGGATTAATCAACTTTTGTGTGCTATATTTAGAAACAAATGAGAACACAATCAACTCCAGAGTAAGTAAGGATCCTGCAGGCACAAAGTACAAAAACATGCTGTATTTCCACATCTGGAGATTGGTTGGAACCTCAGATGGAACAATTTAGGGGCCAACTAAGGGTGTTCACTTTCTGCCGGAAGTCATATAAGCTACATCAGTTTTGTTACTGAAATGACTGTCAGACACACTCTGCTTGCCAGTAGTGAGCAGGGATAAAAGCTGGCATTATTATCATTAGTAAGTAGTATATCATTATACTAAGTTTCCCTATCTGAGATATATACGTCCCACTATTGGACTGATGCAGTGCCTATTTCTTTCAATTCGAAGATCTCAAATTTTACAGATACATATAATTTTCAATATTGTGAAAGTTTATTTGGTCTGTCTAGCAGTGTCCTTTTAAAAGTTATTTACAATCATTCCAAACTAGCACAGCCGTTTAACTATCTGTAGGAAAAGAGCTACAGAAAAATTCCATAATTGCAAAAAGATTAAGAAGCTAACTGGAAGCGAGGGATATGGAAATCAACAAAATCATACTTGTAGTCACTTGTAGCAATATCATAAAGAGTATTAAACAACATTTAGCAACATGTACTCTAGAAATGAGTTTGTTTGTTTGTGCCTTTTTATTTGTTATTTTTAGGTAGCAATGCCATCAGTCAGTTTAGCATTGCATTGTACTATCTGGGATAAAGATCAGATTGAACTTCCCACCGCAATAATCCTTCAACGGAACTTTGTGGTTTTCAAAGTTATGTCCTGGTTAATGGGAAGGATGAGATTGTATCATCTGCACAATATAATTGAAACCAGCCTAGTTACTGGCATTTATCCAAACCCTTTACGGTTTAATTCCTTTGAGTTGATAGACTCACGATGAACGGTCAAACTAACGTTGAGTCAACTGAATTCCATTAACTTTTGGAATTCCCAGTGTACTGCACTATAAAGCATTAATACCCTATGCTGCAGGGATTGCTACATTCTGTGTGACACAGCATGTTGCTTCATTAATTTGTGCTTATAACCTTTCAATTGATGATAATTTTAATGCAATCATGCCAATGTAAACAGGGAGTGGTAGACGTTAAGGGGAGATGGGCAGAGAGCAAGGAACCTGGAGGTAGAGTCATTATGGGTTTTCAAGCATTGTTTCGTGGCATGTTCAAAACAGCAGTGCTGGAGACCAGGGTTGGGGTGGTGGGGGGTAGTGGAGCAAGGTAAAAACAAAAGGTGCTGGTGAAAGTCAACAGATCTGCAGCATCTCTGGAGAGAGAAACAGATAACTTTTTGAGGCTGATTTGACAATGATATGAATATGAATTCCAGTTCCAAAGAAGAGTCATACAGACTTGAAACATTTACACTGTCTGTCTCCATAGATGCTTACAGACATGTTGAGTTTCTCTCGCATCCTCTCTTCTTATTTCAGATTTTCAAATTGTACTGTATTTTGCTTTAATTTGAGTTTCTTGAAGTGCTGGTCATGAGTGATATTGTTGTGATTACTGTCATTGTATTCATCCTTTATGGTCATAGATGATTATGATATCAGCTAGAATTCTTTGAGTTGTATTATGGCTGCAATGTGTTTGAACAGGACTAATCAATTCAATTTAAGCATGAAAAGATCTGTTGCATAGTGAACATACAGGCATTGTTGGTGTGAACAAAGTGCTTGAAACTCTGGATTTATGAAACTAATCCTTCTGAGGGCCATTGAGATACTGTTCTGTTCATGAAAGATTTTCCCTTTACTGTTGAGACTGTACCTTATAGGGAGATGCTGTGCAACATTCTCTCATTTTCAGGAACAAATATTGAAATTCTATAGTGAGACATCCAGGTTGCTCGTAAAGCACACATTTTCCTGCCTTCACATGAATATTTCCCTTCAATTAGCTCCTCTTGGCAGATCTTTCTTGGCATGCACTCATTTGGCATTCTGCTAACATGTCCTGTCAATCTTTCTGTTCAGCAGATTGTAGATGCCAGGCATATTGGTCAGGGAGAGTATCACAGTAGGAAACTTGGAAATGTGGCACACATTGTCATTACATAGGCTTTGGCTGAGCTAAAGTGGCATTGGATATCTTTTATGTAAATCTGTGAATATAACTCAGAGGTCAGATAGACCTCACAGAAAACAATATGCAGATTTCACATGGATTAAATTTCATGTATATAATTCGTAGATACAGCATATTTAAAACATTTTTAAACCATTCATTACACTTCCTAATAATGGCCAAAAGTTGATTTGGAGCCTATTTAATATTAGGATATATGTGTCAGCTGATTCATCATAGCAAAGATTATTTTGGAACCTAGTGAGTGGAACTCTTCAGATACAACATACAAGTGCATGGCAAGTGCATATTTCTACTCTCACTTGTTTAAAACAATGTGAGAACTAGCAGCTGAATTCAAAAGTTGCAGTTCCCTGTGATACCGCAAATGCGCTGTGTTCAAGATTGTTATCTATAACAAAACCTCTCAGCATGTATTGACACCACAGCAGTTGTTCTGCTGCAAAAGACCTTCACTCAGCAACAATACTATGATTATAGTATAAATGCAATTCAGGGTCAGTGACTGATCTGACAGTAGAACAGCACAGCAAGATTCCCTGGAGCTGGAAATTCATTCTGCTACATTTTGGTCCCAGTTTTGGCTTTGAAATGCAATTTGCACCCTACAGGAGGAATTTCAAATCAGAAATTGGTGAGCCCTTTCAAAGACCTCAGCTTCATTTCCTGCTCCTGACCATCTGTTGGTGATTGCTGATTGCAGGAGGGCACACCTCCAAACCTGATCCATCTGAAAGTTGAAACTGTAACAGGGTGGCTAGTGATTGTTGACATATGAGAAATGCACCAGCACCTCCTAGCTATATCAACAAAATGGCAGACTTTCATCAGACATTTTGTGAGTGGTCACTGGACTCACATTCAAAAAAAACACCAATTAGTCTGCTCAATGTTGAGGACAAATAAAAGCAATCTTTACTGAGCACAAAGCCTTTCTACATTGAAATTTCAACTGGTTTTATGTAGGTAATAAGGACATAACCTGCATATTTCAGTAGCTTCCTGCCTAAAACAGGCTACCTCATCAGCTGCCTCTCGGAGGACTCTATCCAAGATGATGGTGTCTGTCACACCAGTGTAAATGGGTCAATAAGTGACCCAATTTCAGGACACAACTAAAGTGTCTGGAAGGGAGGTAAAATCAGGCCTTGCATCTTTAAGTGCACAATTGAAATCACTTGGCAGCAATATTAAACTTGCATAATGAAGTCACTGTCATGATAAAAGAAAAGTAGGGGAAAAGGTTAGTTTTTAGTTACCTCAATATAGAGCAGGTCAGTACCTCTTCACAAGCATATTTATAAACACATCTGTCTCTCTAGAACCAGTTACCTGACCTGCATATTCTGTCCCAGATAAGCTTTGACAAGATAACTGCTCCATCTTTGCTGCAATACCGTTTTTTGCTTGAGGTTTCATTTTATTTCATTGCAAATGAAACAAACACTGCATCAAAATTCACAGATGAAATACCCACTGCGGAGGAAATTCTGCATAAATGTTACAATATCTCATAAAAACTCACTCATTCAGAAGAAGACTGTGTCGCTTCACAGCTAATTACATAAATCTACCTTCTCTTCTAGCTCACATTTTAAATAATTTGTACATTAACTTGAATATGAGAATCTGGAATCAGTATGGATGTCTGTGAA